TAAGCATAATGATGTATTTTTCAAGCTTATGATAATTTTCTAGCATTCAAATATTTTGGATACAGCAAGATTTTAGAGCTAATATGAAGAGATTTTTGGTGGCCTCAAATGTAGAAGGTATTCAAAGACTTTGTACAAGCATGTGATATTTTTTTAAGATCAAAAATTCCTTGTCATAGATCTTATGGACTTCTTCAACCATTACCTATCTCAAAACAACCATAGTCTTTTATTTCTATAGATTTTATGACTAATCTTTTAGTCTTAAGTTTATATAATTTTGTGTTTGTGATCGTGAATTATTTTATTAAGATGGCACATCTTGTACTATGTACAAAATCTATCATTAGTGAAGAAATAACTAAGCTTTTTTTGACAATATTAATTGCTATCATGAATTATCCAAGGATATTATATTAGATATGACAACTCAATTTTTATCAAGATTTTTAAAAATCTTTTTTAAGATTCTAAAGATGGATGTAAAGCTATCTTAAGCTTTTTATCTATTACATCCATCAAAAATAAGATAATGAATAGTAAATATTTGTTATAAAAAAAAACATAGTTGAAAAAAAATTATATTTTATCTTTTATCTTTATATATAATTTATATTTATTTGTGGTACTAATAAGGTAGAGAATCAACAACTAGCAAATTTAACTCAAAAATTATTTTTTATTGATGTATTAGATAAAAATTGTGATTATTATAGCCTTTAAGGTAATGTAATCAAGATAAAGATCTTTATAAATAACAAGTTCTTACTTAAATAAATAAAAAAATAAAATACATTTGGTATCATGGCTTTAGAAGAAATTCCTAATGTTTGGTGATTTTATTGAAAGTAGGAATGACTCTTGATGGTCTTACAAATATTTTATTTGAACGAATTTATAAAAGCCTCAACAATGACCAAATAACAATGTATTCTTTCTATCATAGAATGGAACATTATTGATGGTAGAGAGGATCTATCAATTATCTTCAAAGGAAACAAAGATCAAAGTATTTTATAAATATAATTAGCCACATCTTTGACTTCTTCAACATATGATGAATATTCTTTATAGAATTCATCCTTATAAAGAGGGATAATATTACAAGTATATATATATATATATATATAAGAAGTGTTAGATAGAAAGTAAATGTACATAGATGTGATACTATCTTGTGGCAAAGCTTCTTAGAAGCTCTATAGATGCATATTTGACTTTATACATGTTTATAATTGTTTAATAAGTTAGAAACTCGACCAATAAGTTAGCCATATGTCACACATATGGATAACTTGTAGTACAAGCTAATAATGTGGCATATATAAGAAACTTGCTTTACAAATTAATACATGCATCTTGCAAATTGGATACATGTTAGAGTTCTTATAGGATATTGTTACGCTATTTCTAGTTGGATAGTATATATGGAGGCAAGAGTGAAGTCTTCTTTATTCTTGTCAATATCTTTTTAATCCTTAGTCTTATTTCAAGATTTTTTTAGTATTCTTGTCTTTAGCAATAATCATTCTAATTTAATATTATAATATAATTGAGTGATTTTTCAATCTTTTTAAGTGACATAAGAGTGTATTAATGTCTTAGTTCTTTGAGACTTATACTCTTGATAGTTTAATTTAATATAATAAATACAAAAATTAAAAAATCTTTTTATTTAGTAGAAATATTATTATAATTAATTAAGATAGATTATAAATTTATATATTACAATCTTATTTGCCATTGATTATGTATAAATTATTATAGGTCAATTGTATTGTATTAATATCTCTTGATTACCACTCAATCAAGAAGCATGTGGCAATATAACTAGACCATCTTTAAGACACGTTTAAATAAATGTATGGTGTCTATATAATGAAAAAAATTAATTAAAAAGCGAATATTTTTAAATTAATTATTAAATAGATTAAATTTTTTTAATACTAATTTAAATCAATATTTGTTTTTATAAAAAATTAATTTATGGAAAATACCAAATTTTATAAAATTATTATCATAAGATAAATAAAGCTAAGTCACAAATTAGTCAAAGGTAAAGTAATAGAAATTCAAAATTTATAATAAATTATCTATTATTCTCTTTTTTTTGCTTTTATCATTCATCTACAAATTAATTTGAAAAAATCTAAAAATATCTTATCTATTTAGATTTTAATTCTAAACTTTGATACATCATATATAAAAAAAATAAAACTTTACTATTAATTCTAAGTTATAGATTTAGAAATATTCTTATTTAGTTTTAATTAGTTTTTAAAAAATAATATTTAATATTTAGTACATTTTTTTGTAGATTAAATTTTTTGTAAGTTTTAACATTATATTTTAGCACCTCTATCTACTACTTTGGAAAGATGATAATTTCTTTGTGTACTTTGGAAATATAATCATTTTTTTGCTTATATTAGAAATTATAAAATTATAAAAAATTTAAATTTTAAAAAAAATTAAAAATAATACCAATCATTTATATTGTAAGTTTATTTTTTTCAAAAAAATAATTGTGGATTTTAAAATATAATTCTTATATAAAAATGTCTCATAACTATATAATTAAAAAAATTATTTTTAAATTTTTAAATTTTTAAATTTTTTAAATATTCTTTTTATTTGTTTCATTATGTAATTATTTAACTTTAGACTCAAGCTACAAGCATACCTCAAGTTTCTATATGCACACTTTAAATTACTATATTCATATTTAAGAAAATAGAGGCCTTTAATTTGTTGGTTTGCTAAACAAATAAGCAATTGTAGAAGGATCATCGAGGTAGGACTAAGATTCATGCCGAGATTAGGGACAAGAATTGGAAATAATATTAACTAAAACTCTTGCTGAGATGAGGGAGGGAAGTTGGAAATAGTGCCAAGATTGAGACTTGCACTAAGATAAGGAAGAAAAGGAAGTCCAAGACTTGCATTGAGACTAAGAAGAAGGGGAAGAGGTCTAAGACTTGAACTAGGATTAGAAAGAGGAGATCATTATAAACCTAATTAGAGGCCTTGGATGTACTCATAGCTTGAGTCTTAACTTTATTGCCTTCTATGACTAATTTTATAATAAAAAAAAAGATTTGTGAATTTTTTTTAAATCTCAGAAAGAAAAAAAATAACAAATATATGTATTATGAAAAAAATACAATCAGCTATTATCATAAACATACATATTTACCTAGATAAGAAGTACTAAGTAGAAGATAAATGTTGGTAGATATGATATTATCTTATGGCAAAGCTTTTTAGAAGCTTCATAGATGCATATTTGATTTTATTCATATTTATAGTTGATTGGTAGGTTAGAAACTTAGCCAATAAGTTGGCCATGTGTTGTACGTGCGGATAGCTTGTAATACAAGCTAACAATGTGGTATGCATACAAGAAGCTTGCCTTGCAAGTTAAGACATGTATCTTACAAATTAGACACGTGCTGGAGGTCCTATAGGACATTGCCATATAGCTCCTAATTGATAGTATATATGGAGGCAAGAATGAAGCCTTTTTCATTATTGTCAATATCTTGTTAGTCTTTAATCTTGTTTTAAGACTTTCTAAACTTTTTGTCTTTGGCAATAGCCATTTTATTTTTAATAATATATTAGTTTGGAATGAATATTTGTTCTTTTTGAATTATAAAAGAGTGTATTGAATTTCTGGTTCTTTGAAATTCATGCCCTTGATAGCTATAGATATAAAAAATTGTAATATAATTTATTGTTAAAATTATAAAATAAAAATAAAATAAAAATAAAAAACTTTAAAATATTTTAATGAAAGAAAAATATGGTAATGATATATTTTTTAAAACCTTAAAAAAATTACTTTACAAATTAAAATTTGTAACTACAAAAAAAAAAAAAAAAAAAAAAAAAAACTATTTATATCACATGTATGTTCATATATTCTCTAAAGTTTATTTATTTACATTGTATTTTTCTTTTTTATACTTACAATAGTTTAAAAACTTTTTTTTATTAACATAATATGATTTTCAACTATAAATTTATATTGTAATTTTAATTGATTGTAAAAGTTTAAAATGTTTGTGATTTTGTCATTATCAAATGTTTCTAAGCAAAAATAATCTTTGTTTAATTCTATAAATTTTGAAGTGCATAGAGCAAATAGAAATCAATTAGAATATTTAATATCTATTTTTATATCTTTGTATATAATTGATATAATCTACTTATATTTTTCAAAATATAGTATAATTTACAAGTAGGTGAATGCGTTAAATTTCTAAATGGTATGTTGTTTTTAAAGATGCAATTTTCATTCATAACATTTTTAAGAGTAAATCAGAATTTTTCTTCCTACTCTTACAAAATGTGTTATCTTTAAGAATTAGCTTGTAAAATTGAATTCGTCAAAAAAATACATCACTAAAATGTATTTCCTTTTGAAAAGTCCCTTAATATAATTTGTAGACAATCTTGTATTTATTTTCTTAATTGTTCTAACACAAATTTTAAGAGTTGTAATTTGATTTTTATACTTATTTTTAAACAGAAAAAACCATCAAATATATTTTCTCTGAAAAATCTAAATTTGGAGTAGATTTTGAATGATTTGATTCTGTAAAAGTAAGAAACATAGTTTGTTTGTTCAATCTAAATTGTTAAGAATTTGACAAATGACTTGTAAAGGTTGTATCATCACCATCATTTACAGAATTATAATTCACAACGGAAATACTTTTTTTTGCCAATCAAGTAAAAATATTTCTCAAGTACCACAAAAACAACTTCATTTCTTATATTGTTGTCAAGACTTCTTTATTTTAAAAGCTGATAATTCCGGAATAAACATCCCGCAGGAATCCGAAGCCAAGTAGAGTCAATATGGAAAGTCGATCCATGTGATCCAACCGATAAAACACGAGGAATTTTGTGGCTTAATTCAGGACATCTGCAGTTGCATCTTTTTGGGAGATCTGCAGCTGAATCGTAGTAAAAATATTTAATTTGAAGATATGTTGCACTCAAAACTCGAAACATGTACTTTCACATCGAATAACTTTTACAGTGTTCGGAAGGTAGATCAGTTGTACAAAATAAGTTCTGATTGAAACTTCAGGTATTTTATCACCTTGCCACGCTGATAAACTCTGTAAAGAGAACGGTCTACAACCCTTCAATTCTCAATAGGTTGAAATAGAAGTCGAACCTTATGCGAAAATGGTCAACTGTTCTTTGGTGTTTTCAGAAGCACTAAGAACCATTGTAAATGTACGGTTCTATTTACAAATGCCATCAGGTGTTGAACAATTTGAATGGAATTAAGATGAAAAAAATCCTACTATTGTGATCTGGATAAGTATTTTTGCTTCAGGAACTGCTCCACTCGTTCTAACAAGCCTGCAAAGGTAGCCCCTACAAACCCAACTTGCGAAATCAGACACTATACTCACAGAACCCCAGAAGCATAACACAAAGGAAAAAGAAATAAGCATCACGTAGTACGTCAAAAGTGGTGAACATACCATGATCACTACCCTTGCTCAATAAGGCCTTCACAAGTAGAGATCCAGGTGCTTGTTGAAAAACCTGCCAAAAAAAAATTAACATAAGAATCAAGAATTATCAAACTGCAGATTTGCATCGATGAAATACAGCGACTCAAAACCAGTATGTTCCTATTGATTCCAACCGACCACCTACATCGCTGTGTCGAAGAGGGTTCGTGAGTATGGTTCTAAAGCCACTTACCCAGACCTTAAACAAACGACTTTTATCTTCTTCTGGATCATTTGAGGAAGTCGCAGCTTGAAGACATTCTTTTTCTGTTATTTCCCTCTTCCTCTTTCCGAGAACATCATCACGAGGCCCACAATCAATACCTGGAAGGATTCCCTGCAACACATAACCAACATCGATCCGATAGAATGTCAGCCCCAGTAAAGAAGGAAAAAAAAAAAACTTCCAATTTCTGAAAAAAATAATCCTCGTGATTGGACATAAACAGGACTTGAGAAAAATGAAACAGAACGTCAGGCTGCTTTACAGCACTGGACAGAACGACGATCACAGCGCTCAGGACAGGAGACAGCATACAGAGATAGAGAAGTCGGATTCGCTGACGGTGCACAGAGATCCAAGAGATTGCAGCTGTAACGCTATAACGTGCAGCACATCTACCGAACTGCATCCTCGGCCTAGGCCCTGCACAGAAAACTGATTTTTGATAACAGCTTCTCTGGCTGGATGACAGTGTCTCGCAAGTTGTTAACACTGATTTTTTCGAGAGGATAACCGCCAGTTTGGAAAATCAAAACCAGAAGAACATAGGAGTGAAACGTAAATCAAGAGAAACCCAGCAGAAACAGCACGGTACTCGATTGATGATTTACCTCCAGCATGAAAGAGTGGTTACTCTTACTCACAGTGGAGTTCTTCTGTACAGCTTTAGGAGGCGAGGCGAAAGACCACGCGAGACCCCACCGTGAGGTGCGGCCCTGAACAAACTCCGTGGTGCGAACGGCTGCTGCTCCTAGCGCCCAAAGCCTAGCTGTCAACCCCTTCAGAGTCGCTTTACGGCCCACCATCGTGGTAAACCAGCTGATTCCCGACAAAAACACAAATACAGTCATCAACTTCTTGAACTACGAATATATGATAAGAGAGGCGGCATCTACAATACAGCTCTCTTAAAAACAGTCTCAATTGACTTGCACCTGAAAGCATGAAATCAGAGAAGAATTTACTGCCGCTCATCGAGGAAATTCATGAACTCAGGTAGATTAAAAGTGTGATGAAAATACGAAACAATACAGCGACATTTTTAAGTACCCAGTTAGGTAATCATGACCAGAATGATACGCACTGAATGACATGCTTCAACTGGGCACTGTCTTCTATGATCCGCGCCACAAATGCTTCCTCTCCCCCTGGGCACACCATTTCTGCCTCTGTTCCTCCACACGACGTACGAGGATTCACGCCAGCCTCTTCCAAGCTTGAGAAGAAAGGTGGGTTGCACATACAAAAATCAAACCTTTCCTCCTCACTCACCACCCCTACAAGCACATTTGCGCAACTCTCAGGACCCGTCTCAGATGGAGCATTTCCAGGTGCATTGGTTGGTGGCTCAGGATACTCAGGCTCATTGCAGGGCGTCGATGAAATTGTCGGTTCCGATGGTAAGCCTCTGTCTAGGCAACCTTCACAACTCTGTACGATCTCATCAGTGACAACTTTGAGAGGTCCTTCAGGATCTACGTCAGAAGAATCAGTAACCAACTCCTTTGGCAAGAGTTGTGGATCTTGTGGATCCACTTCGATCACTGACCCTTGCATTGAAGGTGGGAGAGGAGGACCAATTACAACGTTACCACATATACTTTGGTCATTGCCATCCAAAGTCGTAACAGGTTCCCGAATCGCACTTCGGATCTCAATTAGCGCCGACACGTGAGGATTTGAATCAGCATTCCACCGAGCCCACTCCAAAGCAACGGGTGTAATGTCTACACGCCAACAAAAACAAGAGCCTAAAAATTCACGAAAAATGCAATAACTCGCCTTTCCTAATAATACAAACGTCGGTCTAGAGTTACGAAGATACTCTACAGTCGAACATGAATCTAAGTGCAATGCCAGCGTCATGCAATGACCTCGCACAGGTCGTACTAAATGTAATGGAACTGTGAATCTTCACCAACAAAAGTGAGTTCTATAAAAATAAATAAATAAATACGATTTAGTACATCGTTCCAATGCACAATACTATACCATTACCTGTACCAACAAACCTCCAGCCATGTAAAGAAGTGCCAAGTAATGGGTATATGCAATTTGCCCCCGTGCCTATGTCAAGGCCTGTCACCAGGTGATCACCAGAACTAAGCCACGGCGCAGGAGACAAGGCAAGCAAATCTTCAATCCAATGGATGTAATTTGCACGGTTCGTAACAGCAGGACACAGCTGCCCATCTGGAATCCACCTACAAATACCAGACACCGAAAGTCACACCGGCTCGAAATCTGCAATATTACCATACTCACAAACCATTCTACTACAGAAGGCTTGATACTTCCCAATTTCGTTGAGCAAAACTTCTATATTTCCAATGCAAAAATCAGAACACTATACGTAATGACAACGGAAAGTCTCTGAAAAACGAAAAAAAAAAAAAAAAAAAAAAAAAAAAAATGAAGGATACGACCCCTAGCTCTCCAACCTCGAATTCCAAGCAAGCAACCCAATTATGCATAAACCACACCAAAAGAACCCCTTAAACCCTAAACCCTGACGAAACACAAGCTCACAGCAAATGAAGCGTACCAAGTAATCCCGTAGTCGTGATAAAGAAGCGTCCGCGTGAGCTCCCGGGTGGCATTGAAATCCGTCCAGTCGATGCGCGCTTTCTGATTAGCACCATACGTCACGTACTCGCTGAACTGCGGGTACAATCCAGCCAGAAGAGTGAAATCGGGCGGCTTCTCGGCGTACTTGTTCCGAGGGTGCATCGTCTTCCGCTCCATGGTTGCATGCAATGTGTGCGAGGAGAACCCAGCTCGTCCGTGGTTGCATGCAATGTGTGCGAGGAGGACCCAGCTCGTCCGTGGTCGTGAATTCGACCCAACTGCGCTGTATCGGTGAGTGACCGTCGACTCCTGCGAGAGGCAACTCTCCCCGCGGCACTCTCTCTCTCACTGTGACTTCGGAGACCATGGTTGCAACTGAAAGCAGAGGGGGGGGGACGGAATACATTCATCTACTGGATAAATGTAGTTGGTGGATGGATGTTGAGGATTTTTGATTTTATGAAGTGGGTTTTTCTTGGGCACTTACAAAACCATACCTAGTGATTAGTTTACATAACTAGTGATTAGAGATTAGTGAATTGAATTCTTTCCGATTGTTACAGATTTTGAACATTTTGTGAAGGATTACAAACAATGGGTAAAGAAGAATTTTGATTGCCATTGTAATGCGTGTGTAATAATTTATGGGTGTCTGGGCAGTGCTCAAAATCACGTTCAAACGAATTGTTATCTTTGATTACATACAACAAATACAATTTTCATTTTTTCTTTTTTTCTTTTTTTGTTCTTTTCTTAACTTGAAAACGTGCTGATTTCTGGGTTCAAAAAACCAGATCATGGTTCGTAATGTTTGTAATTGGCAACAATGTATTATAAAACTAAAAACAAAAACTAATTTATATTTTTTCTCTGCTTACATATGTCACATTCACTATTGGATGTCACACAGTCTCTTATATTTCATGTGATGTAAATTGAAGTTGTTTGAAAATTTCTGATGCAAGGCATTCACTGTAAGGAATGGAATAGTAAAGACAAACACGTGTCCATGCTTGATTGAATTTACGAAAGAAATTGAACTTAACTTGAATCAACTGTGAATTTCAAAAAAGATATGCAATAATATGTTGCAATAGTGAGCGATGGATTGGTCTAGAAACATGGAGGAAAAGTCTCAGGATGTATTGATTTAGCTTTGCATATGTCAATGGTCTACGTGCACAGAAACAGAAAGCTGTATTGATCTCACACACACACACACACACATATGTAGACACACACACATATACATATATACACACACTCAATCATGTTGCAAACTACCTGATTCCACCCCAGTTTATATATGAGATATTATTCTTCATAGATGCAAAGATTCTACAGATGAGTGCATAAAATTTTCCAATGTAGTCTACTCAGAAAATCACAAAATAAAAGCAAATCAAAACTGAGTAATACTCAACTAACCACAGCGTCATATCGGAAACTCATATTTTGTGGAATCTCCATTTCTGAGACTGTCATCCATGCTTCAAAAACTCAAAGAACTTCGTCAGGGGCTCCGTACATTTGTGTTCCAGTACTAAAGATGTAGAGGCTCTACAGATATTCTATGGATCTGATGTAGTGTTGCTGGGTTGTTAGTTACATTTGAATTAGTGGACTAAAACTCCTGCTCAGACTTCGACGAATCAACCTCATCTAAGCTTCAATCCGTTTACATCAGATTACGAGTGACATGTAATGCTGTTCTCGTTTACAACCAGGATGATGACTGCAACTGATGAATCAACTCGTTCGGGTTGTAAGATTTCTGAACCATGCTCAGAGTCTGAAACACCATCCAGAGGATGATAGCATATAGACGACGGTTTGTGCAGGGTCTCCCTCAGTGAAGCTCTCCTATCAGAGCATCTCTCCCAAGTATATATGAAGAGCTTCTGCTTTGCAACAAATGAAGAGTCTCCATCAATATGGAAACACAAATAAATTCACGTTACATCCTCTGAATCAGTTTCTTCTGCACCACTAAGGCGAAGGCCAATGTGTGTATTCTACTGTTGCATATAATCATTGGTACTCATAACCGTTGCTTACAGAGCAATTATATCTGTCAAATATGATGAAGAGGGAAGGATTTGAAATGCATCAGTTATGTGATCAACTTGTGTTTCAATGAACCATATGAATTGTCTACCATGTCTACCATGCCCTATAATAAAAGCATTCAAATTCCATGACAGTATCCAGTCTCGTCGAAAGTAGACGTACCATGAAATCAGACATACCTGAAGTAGAAAGAATGAAGAGCAAGCCGCCTGCACACTAAATTCGATGTTCGCAAGCTCCTCTAGGTTCAAGTGCTTTCACTTTGATCGCCAGCCTCCTAGACGCATACAACTAAGCCGAGGTTGCCAGCTTTAAGATTCTTAAACATCGAGTTCAAGAGTCGAGAATGTGGCAATATGCATCACCAACAGAACATGAAGCTTTATTTATCCGTGTTAGATGTTGTCATTATCACCGACGTCTACACCTAAACTCGCAGAAGTACCTGATTAGGACGTTAGAGAACTGGGAATACTTGACCAATTAGCTGGGCCTCGCCAAGCAAGAACGACAAAATATTGCGAAATCGCTGCCACAAACAAACAAAATTTTGCATCGAAATGTATCTGTTCGAAAAGTTTCGGTCAGTTGTAATACATGTGACTGCAGTACACATTTACAGTTCGACCATCCTCGTTGATATTCGACGAAATTTGAACCAGTATGTCTCAGCGGATGGCTCGAGAAAATCTGCAATTTAGATTATTGGTTCCATGCACGGAATCAAAACACAACGTTGACTACCGAAAACCTAATTTCTCAAGTGGTTACATCACTTCATCTACGCACACGTGTGTTGGACACTTTATCCACGCGAAAGTTAATCTCTGGAGCGTGCGAAGTTACGAAACGACATTTGCTTGCAATGTAGGGTAACCCCGCCGTGGGGACATTTCATTACAAAGTACCCTCCAGCACTGAGATAGCCATGGCTTCACTTCACACCTTCACGTGCCAAGACATTGAATAGTTGCTTGCATGTACTCGCCATAAAACAGCGTTTCTTGGATGAGATACATTATAGGATTGCGCTCAATGAGCACGATGGAGCCAAGTACGAAAATCTTCGTCGGAACTCTACAGCGTACTAAGCTCACAATACCAATCAAAACTGCACAATCAGTAGCCAAGCTACAAACAAATGTCACAGCGTCAAGTTGACCCACATTTCCTCGCTGTCACCTTCGTCTATCAATTATCAAAATCTCAGTACCCGCACAAATTTTCATTGAAAAAGGCAAAACACACACTCACACTCTCTCTCTCTCTCTCTCTCTCTCTCTCTCACACTAACGCACACACCCTACACAGCAACCCGTTCGCTCTATCGAAATTTCCAAAAAACCTTCCGAAGAGTCCAATGCAAACTCACAGTACACTGCCACAGTGTAGAAATCTATCAGCCAGCACCCATCTTAGCGCCATTCAACCCATACATTCTCTCGATCGGCCACGAGGGCACACACCTGCGCAAAGTTAGTGTCATTTCACCTGGCTCTGTTTCTAAAAAACAATAGAATTGGGGCTCAGCGATGCGAGATTCGTCGACAGAACCACCAATTCATTACAGAGGGATCGATCCATGGATATCCAACACTTGAATCTGCTGCAGCAACGCCGCCGCCGCCTTGCAACCCAACACAGCGCCGAAGCTGTGGACCCACTATTCATGGATGAATGAAATATTGATGCTCGTTGTATTGGATGAGGTTTTATCATTCGTTTCTGCGCGGCTGCCACGGTTGGCATCGGAGTTTGTAAATGGAGGTGTACATGTGGAGCTTTGAGTTCGTAGATGCTTATTGACTCAAACGTATGGATCCTAAAATGATATGAAAGTATTCATTTTGTCTTTTGAGTATAAGAAATTGTGAAACAATTACTTCCTGAATCCATTCTAGTTTGCAATTTGAGAAGGTTTCCAAATTATATTAAAATGTACAAGTGCAATCAAGATTTTAGTAAGCAATGAGAAGAGAAGAAAAAGAGAGAAAATATATAAGAGGAGAAACGACTTTGGATTTGGTATTGGTCATGTATTCTAAAATTCCATGCTATGATGCCATTGCATTTGTATGAGTGTCTATAACTCTTCTTCTTTTTCATATTCAAAATTCATATTACAATGTGCTAACTAAAATTGATGTAAAATAATTTCTTTGTGAAAAAATTAAAAATTAAAAATATTATTTTGTAATATATTAGATATATTTATAAGATATTATATATATATTTATTTATTTATTTGTGAAGTGAAATTTTTTATTATTATTTATTTATTTTGTAAGGTTATTGATTGATTAAAATGTATATATAATAAAGAAAAAATAGGAAAAAAAATAGTGTGTCAAAAAAAGAATGAAACCAAGAAATAGATAAAATATATATATGATTTCAAATATGGCACTTTTTCAAAACCAAATAAATAAGATTCACTTAAAATATCAAATTCAAAATATCACACTTTAAATTTTATCATCTCTTGATATTATTTCTTGATTAAAATATCATTATATTCTCATATAGAATTAAAAAAGAAGAAAGTTGAGATAAGCAATGTAGTTTTTGATATTTTACTTACTTTCATAGACATACATATTTACATAAATAAGAAGTACTAAGTAGAAAATAAATGTATGTAGATTTTATATTATCTTGTGGCAAAATATCTTAGAAGCTTTATGGATGTATATTTGATTTTATACTCCTTTATAATTGATTGGTAGATTGAAAAAATGGCTAACAAGTTAAACATGTATTGTATATATGGATAGCTTGTGGTACAAGCTAACAATGTGGCATATATAGAAGAAACTTGTCTTGCAAGTTAAGACATGTGTCTCATAAATTTGACATGTATTAGAGGTCTTGTAGAATGTTGCCACAAAACTCTTAGTTTTATAGTATATATAGAAGAAAAAGTGAAGCCTTCTTCATTCTTGTCAATGTCTTTTTAATCCTCGCTTTTATTTCAAGACTTTTTAGTCTTCTTATTATTGGCAATAGCCATTCTAATTTAATATTATATCATCTTTTATAGATTTTTAGTCTTTTTGAATGACACAAGAATTTATTGATTTTTTAGTTCTTTGAAATTTATGTCCTTGACTCCTAATTCTCTTATGATATTTTGATTTCAAAATCATCTATCTTCTCAAGTAGGTGTATCATAGATATATTTATTCTAATAATTATTTAGTTAATATGAATAGATAGAATAGAAAAAAATAGATTAATTTGATAATATTTTATAGAATAACTTTCTAGAAGCTTCATAGACATGTTTTCACTTTTATACATATCTATAAATGATTGATAGGTTAAAAACTTGGCCAACAAGTTAACCACGTATTATACATGTTAAAAGCTTGTGGAATAAGTTAATTATATGGTACACATATAGAAAACTTGTATTGTAAGTTAGACATATGTTTTGCAAATTAGACACATACTAGAGGTCCTATAAAATGTCACTAAATAGCCCTTACATAGATAGTATATATAAATATAAGAGTGAATCTTTCTTCATTCTTGTTAACTCATTTCATATTTCCAGTCTAGTTTCAAGAATCTCTAGTTTTCTAAACTTTACAAATAGCTATGTTGGTATCTTAATAAATATATTTTACTTTCTTGTTTTTATTTTGTCATCTTTTTTTGATTTATTTCTTATTTTTTTACATATCTTCTTTGAGTTCTTATCATAAACAAATTGATGAGAATGCTAATTTATTATTCATATCTTATTTTTAAAATGAGTATATTATTCTACTTCTACTATTGTATATCAAAGGTTGTAGACTTTCTACCTTTAAATTAATATTTTTTATTTTTTAAATCTTAATTTTTTCCTTAAAGAGAGTAAACTACCTTTCTTTGTAGAGATTTTTATTTGAAATCAAATATATTTGTGGATACATGTATTTAATTTATAATATCCACTTCTATTTTATTTCAAATTTATTAAGTTGTTTGAAATAGAAGAAAATATCATAGATACTATACTTGGCAAAAGTGAAAAAATATTTGCAACTATTGTTGTTTCAGACATACAACTGAAGAAGGTTAGAGAAGGTTCCAAGAGGTTCTAAAAAGTTCTAAGAATATTCTTATAGATCTTAGAAGGTTCAAGAAAGTTCCAAGAGGTTCTAAAAAGTTCTAAGAATGTTCTTATAGATCTTAGAAGATTTTAAAAGATTCTAATAGGTTCTAATAGATTTTAAGAAAGTTCTAGAAGGTCATAGGAGATCCTAGAAGGTTCTAGGAGACTTTAGATGATTTAGGAAGTTGTCAAAGAAGGATCTTAGGCCTGCTTTGTTTCCAACCCTCATGGAAACTTCTCAAGAAGCTTTCTAGGACCTAATATATAGGAATCAAAGCTGAAGAGATCCTTAGTTTCAATAACTCACTTCTTGTAGTTTAGCCAGGAACTTCTTACCTTATATCCAATTATTGTTCTAATGTTGACTTAATTTCATTTCTTGATCTTGAATCCATGTCTTATATATGGTCCTTAACAATTATAGATCTTCACAAGTTTGTCAACACTCTTAGGATAGAAATATCATGCATTTCTAATGCCTATCACAAAAAAACTATTCTTATATCTATAGAAGAAATTTAGAGTTTACACTAAAAAATTGTGCAGTTGAAAGAAGCAATTAAATTGATCTCACAATTAAATCTAAAAAATCTTATTTCTATAAGCATGAGAGAGGAAAGGATTAATATGCCCAAGAAATTTAATGGAATAAGATAAAAGTTTTAAGGAATTTTGCAAGAAATCAAGTTTTATCTAAAATTGCATCTTTTCTAATATTCTAATAGATTTACTTAAGTTGAGGTTATAGGCACTTTTCTATCTGAAAGTGCTTTCTTTTTATATGCATCTTTGATGAAAATAGATTCATGTTTCTTTTATGTTTTTAATTCATTCCTAAAAGTGTTTATATCCACATTTAGAGAAAGTAATTGATAAGGATTAGTAGAGACTCAGTTCTTATCTTTATAATAAAGATCACTATTAGCCACCATGTATGTTACTGGATTCCAAAACCTTACTTGCAACATGGACAAGAATGACAAAGCCCTTATCAATTAATTTTGATATGGATTAAAATATAATATCAAAGATTTATTATTAATAATATCAAAAGTAGATTCTTTGAAATAATTTATTGTCCAAGCCATTGCATGTGACAATTGACTATTTGAAAGGCATCAAGAACAAAAAATTAGTTAAAAAAGATTAAATCAAGTAATGTTAGTAACTTATTGATCAAGGCTAGAAGTAATGCAAATTGATACAATATATTTTACACTTCTCATTAAAAAAAAAAAAAAAAAAAAAAAATCAACATCATAAAGAAAGATTGTGCTTATATTATAGAGAAACTAATCACACTATTCAACTTTGTTCAAAGAAACAACGCAATTACAAAATGAGGAGCATATTTGCTAAAGAAGATAATATATTGAAAAACAAGTTTCTCCAATTATAATAGAGATCGTATAGCTCAAATTATATACAACACCTAATAAAGGTCTTATTCTCTCCTTAGATCCCTTACCTTATTTTATAATAGATATATGTTTAGAACCTAAAATTACAGATTCTTTAACTTATTAGATTTAAGAGCCTCAACTTTTTTATAGATGAAGACTTTGTTAAAAAATAAGAAATATCTCTAGTTAAGAAAACTAAATTCATACATGTAGATATCATAGATGATCGTTTGTTGTCTTTTGAAGGTGTTACCTATGAGATTGTTTTTTTAGATGTAGCAATAAAAGATCATAATAGTATAGTAATATTTAATAAAATAGATCTCTCTTCAATCCAATTATTTTAAGATTATCGTCGTTAAAAAAATATAACCTTCAAATAGACTAAATTTCTTAAAATCTTTATTTTTCTTGTAGTTTAATCTAAAATTCTATTAATTAAATAAAAATATATAAATCTAATAAATCTTAACCCTTATTAGTAGATGTGAAAGCTTTTATGCATGTAGCAAAAGAAAGTTCATGTTTGTTATATATGCCACATCCATTTTTAATACTGAAAAGACATTAAGTGATATTCCTAGTAAATATTAAGATTTTTAAGATTTTTTTTATTTTTTTTTATTTTTAAATATAGATATTTTTTAGACTATCAATCCTATGATTTTATGATTGATCTTTAAAGAGGAATTCAATTGTCATTTGGACCAATCTATAATTTATAAAATTATCTTTCGCCTTTCATCCATAAATTGATGGATAAAAAAAATAAATAAATAAAAATAAATTAGAGTAGTAATTGAGGTGTACTATCAACTTTTATCAAGATGATTGGATATTTTTTTTGCCATTAGGAGAGATTTCATATAATAATTTAATATATTCTTCTATTCAATAATTTTTTTCTTCTAATTATGGTTATCATCCACAATTAGATACCTTTGAATTTTTAAAAGTTGATAAATTTATTATAAAAGATATGACAAATCATTTATTAAAATTACATATAATAATAAAGGCATAGTTGAAGAAAGCTCCAAAACAAAAAAAAAGTTCAACATAAATGCCTATTATAAGGAATAACTACAACTT